TTTCAGGAAGTAACCAGATGACACCGATGGTACGTCACAATGACGAGAGTGTAAGAGAGTGAGTGATATATAAGGAATACAGGCAAAGAAGTAAAATTTTTCGCAGGCGCTTTATAAGCACTTCAGTGCAATAACCGAAGAAGTTATGACACAAAGAACGCATTTGGATGATTTTTTAAGTGGTAGAATTATCAGCCGTCTGGAATATGGGCGTACCCAACCGGAAGTATCAGACGAACTTGGAATTGCCCAGTGTCATCTCCAGGCTTTGGTAACGATTGTGAGTAGACGTTACAGCACAGGTCGTCCCAGAGTTACAACGCCGAATGAGGACCGGTATCTGGCAGTTACTGCCAAACAAAACAGGCGGAGCACAGCCTCAGACCTGTCTCGTCAGCTCTCTTCAGCCACTGGTACGACAATTTCAAGGCAGACCGTGTACAGACGCTTAGGGCAGATTGGTCTGTATGCTCGTAGACCTGTCAGATGCGTTCCACTTACTGCAACTCACTGTCGCCTGCAGTTAGCCTGGAGTAGAGAGCATGCATTGTGGACACCGCAACAGTGGGCTTGTGTGATGTTTTCCGACGAGTCCAGGTTTAGCTTGTAGTCTGATTCTCACCGGACTTTCATATGGAGAGCTCCAGGTACCCGTTACCACCAAGAAAACATCATTGAACGACACCGTTACGGTGGTGCAGGAGTGCTCGTTTGGGGTGGAATTATTCTGGGTTCCAGAACTGACCTGCATGTTCAAATTGGAACCATGACAAGCCAAATCTATCGGGACGTCATTCTGGAAAATCATGTACGTTTGTTTCAGGGCGCCATGAGCGCACAATTTGTTTTTATAGATGACAACGCCCGTCCTCACCATGAAACATCGTAAGCGAATGCTTTCAATCGGAGGATATCACCCGTATGTACTGGCCAGCATTCTCACCGGACTTGAATCCAGTAGAGCACGTGTGGGACATGCTTGGCCGACGAGTTGCAGCCCGTCAACCTCCTCCTACATGTCTATCGGAACTTCGGAGAGCATTGCTTTTTGAGTGGTGTAATATCTCCCAAGATCAGATCGATAATTTGATACTCAACATGCCTAGGCGTTGTACGGACTGTATTGCATCGTCCGGGAGACATACAATATATTAACAATCATACCAGCCATGTAATATTGGTTTTTTTGTACATAGTTTTTTTTTTTTTTTTTTTTTTTTTTAATTTGCTAATTTTTAATGGAGGGAAAAATCGCTAATTTTTTTAATAATATCAAACATATAACATCTTTTTTTTGCTCTTTACCTTTTGTTTAATAAATAAGCTTTACAAATAAGTCAAATTTGCTTTGCTTCTAACTCTTCCTTTGCCTGATTTTGCATTATCCTTAATTTATTTACATGAGTGTAGATATGTAGCAACAATAAATAAACTAATTAACCAAGATTCACTACTTAAAAAAGCTAAAGTACATAATATTCAACAGCTTTTATTGAGGCATGTGGCTCAATGCATACCAATTTACAGAACTCTGAGTGAAAACTGTTTTGTGGCAAATAAATGGAAGTGGGAGCAGGGGTGGGGGAAGAAAACTTTATTATTGAAAACTGAAATAAAGAAATAAACGTACAAATCTGGTTCTTTCAGTGCAAAGAAAGTTTCAGTAAGAGATTTAATATTGTAATGAGAATAATGTAAAAAAAAAAAGTTAAAATCAATTCAGTACATTGTTGAGAAACTTTTACGTTCAGTATTTACAGAAGAAATTCTATTTGTTTATCCCATTGACTTTCAAAGAGTGAAACGTATTCAAGACTAGTCATGCTTCAAAAAATACCACAGTATTCCTTGAAGAAATGAAGAATGATACAGGTATTGCCCTCTTTTTCTGTGTATTTCTGCTAAGTTTCCTTATGTTTAACCTATGGTGTGTTGTGCCTTTTATTTCTTGATAAGAGCTGTCTCTCAGTACCAATCTACTACACTTAATGGACTCTACAAAGTAGTGGAAAAGGAATGGAAATCAGCACTTTTGGAAATTTTATGAAAAGTCCTTCTATTGTAGACATCACAATGCAGACTAGTTCAGGAAAAGGGCTTTCAGACTGAACATTTAAAAAAAGTACTCTTTACATGTTAAACATTAATTAAACAACCCCTAAAATCATTCTAAAAATGTATCAATACCCTCTGTATATATGCTATATGTTTCTGTTTAAAAAAATGAAATAATATTTTTTGCAGCTTTTCCGCACATTTGCAGATATTATTTTACTTGCCATTTTTCCACTATAAAATATTTATTCATGAAAAATACTTTAAAAATTAAAATCGCAGATTTCAGAAAGTCTTCTTCTTCTTTTTTTTATTTTTATTTTTTATTTTTTTTATTGACTGCAGGTGTCAGTACTACATCACTGAGAGTTTGGGAAACACTGCTTTGGATATCTTGTGGATCGGTAGATTTGCATTATCAGTGCTATAAGGTAGAACTTAAGTATCCCAGATAGGAAACATTAACAGTATAATCAAATAATGTAACACGTAGTGGGCATGAAGTTGTCAGATGTAGTGGTGTTAAAGGTGTTTTTAGTTTTTAATGTCCATTATAGTGTGTTAAATTTATAAAATGCAATGTTTACTTCCACGTTTTACCAGTCTACTTAAGGAATTTTCAAAGCAGACTGTAAATAAAGTTGTTGAAGGATCATAGTGGTTGTCAGCTGTATTGTTACAGATGATGTGCTTTTAATTGCACCGAATTGTTAATATACATATTTGTTGAAGTTAATTAAAGGAATTTCCTTTATACTCATTTAGCTTTTCTTAATGTACTATGACGTGTATTCATCGCATCAGTTATTTTAATTCCCTTCTTGTTTAAAGAGTCATTTTAATTGTAATGTGCACTTAATTAATATAAATCTGTAACTATTTACTAGCAATATATTGTCATTTTTACAAAAATAAAATTTCAATTGAAAGAGCATAAAATTAAAAATTTTTGACTATGGAAGACTAATTAATGAGCACTATTAAACTTAATGGCCTCCTCATTTTGTGTTGTTGATATTAATTGATTTCTACTTGTGTGGCTCTTTGCAAGTCTCATGTTTATTATAATAAACCATCTCCTTTATAATACGCAAAAGAAGATAATTACTAATCATTAAAAAGTACAGCTGCATTCAGTTAAATGTAGTATGCTTTTAAGTTACTAATATTACATTGCTGAATTTTTTAAATTTTTTTATTGGAAGGTTTCTGAGGTAATTGCTGTAGTATTGATTTTCTGTAAAATAAACTTGATTTTACTTTTTTTGGGAAGCTTTCTGAAGTAGTAGCTTTCTGTAGTATTGATTTTCTGTAAAATAAACTTGGTTTTACTTCTATTGTGAATGCTATCATACTTTGTAGGAGGAACTTTGTCATCTTTATAAATTATTTTTCATACTTAAAGATTGATTGGTACTCGCCATTTTCAGCACTCTCCAATATACTGCCAACAATCTAAAGCAGATTTAAAAAAAAAAAAAAAAAAAAAAAAAAAAATCTGAGTGGTATTGCTTTAAAATCGCATTGAACATTGTAATTCTTGGCAGCTTATATCTGCTTTTTTATGAACTTCAATAAATAAGAAGGCAAGCAAGTTGCCTTTATCCAATTCCCAATTCTTAATCTTACATTTGGCCAGCAGTTGTTAACATTAAGTTTCCATCATTCATTTTTGGTCATGTACGATAACTGGAACTAGGCTTGGCAAGTTTCTTCCATAACAGAAAGAGCTGTGGATGAAAATGGGCAGTCCTCTAAACTAATTTTTGAACTTTATAACATGTTTAAAATATATTTATAACATGTCTATGTTTTATTCGCACGCAATACTGTTATATTGCTAATTTAACTTTTATTTTGTATATAGTTTAACTAACCTCATTTCTATGTTTCAATAACCTTGTTGTTTTACTTCTTTGTACTTCCTAACTTGCTTGCAGTGAGTTGTTTAAAAACACATGATATTTTTCCAAAACCATCAATGTGTTAAAGTGGCTAAGGGAAGTGTATCTTAGAATAGCATTATTCACAGTATAAAACTTGGTTATTTGCTTTCTATGTAGAAAGAACTTGGTGATCAGGTGAATAGTATCTGAGAGATGAAGCAAGTTCTGAAAGATCTCATCAAAGTTACACACAAATCAAGTTAATGCTGACTGTTTTCATAATTATCATAATGTTATGCATCACAAATTTTGCCAACTAGCTAAATTGTGAACAATGAATATTATTTGACTGTTTTGTAACATTTATCTGAAGCAGGTAGTAGAAAGCACTCTGAATTGTGGCAAGATATCTGTAGCATTTGTGGCACAGTAATACACTTGCCCACAATGCTCCTGTTCACGAAATTTTGGTGTGGTGAAAAAAATGATTTGAACAAAAAATAATTATTTGAACAACAAAATGATTTCACAAGTCTCTTATTCACCTGGTATTGCACGACTTTTTCATATTTCCAACATAGAATAGTTAAAACATCTCCTTCATAGCCATTTTGTTGATGCACTAAAAGAAAATTCACCATCAATACTGAAAAGGTTTCACAAAAATGACTTCAAACATGTTTTATAAAGTCTAGAAAAAAACTTTGGCATAAGTGCACTGCATTTGAAGGGGTTTACTCTAAAGTAAATGTAATAATAAATATTCATCGATAAATTGAAATCTATTTTATTTAATCATTTCTGATATTTTTTTATCACAGCAGGGGAGGTAAAAAAAAAAATAAGGGAAATTAAAACAAGGTCATAACTAGACTTTATAGAGAAAGGTTTCTAGCTTTTTTTAAGGAATCACAATGTTATGATTTTTTAAATGATGATTTAGCAATGCTAAAAATTCAGTTAGCATGAAGTTTTAACATTGATGAAACTTTATTGTATATAATAATTCTCTTAAATACTGAATTATTAATTTTTAACATATTTATATTTATTTTTTAGGTTGCGGCACAAATTAACATCTAAACTGAGACCACATGACCTTGTATGTTTTCTCGAACATTACAAAGGTTGTACTATACAAATTCACACCTATGCAAAAAATGTATTAACCACTATTCAAACGTTTATGAACTCTGCTGCTTTAGAAATTTTAGCTGAACATTCACCCCTCATTTTTGAAGATGTAGATTTTCGATACATTTCACTTCAAGATAGAGAAGTATGTTTATTTGTATTTTTTTGTATGATTTTTTATTGCTATTGAAATCCAAGATTTATGATCTTTAATCTGTTCTGAGTTCTTAATGAAGTTGAATATCAATTTATGTATGTAAAAATTTTATTTAATTAAGATTTTTTTCAAATGTTAGCGTGTTTTTTAAAGTAGTGATTATACTTTTATTTCTTCATTATTCTGTAATAGTTCATGTGCAATTACATCTTGAGTAAGTAAAGTGCTTTTTAAAAATTGCCACAAAAGTCATTTTTATGTAGTTTTTCTATGACTGTCTTTTAAGCTTGTGTTATGAGGGTGCCATCTGACTAAGACAATTAGTAAGAAAAATTAATTTGAGGTATAATGTAAATGTTATTTGAAATTGATGTAAAATTATTGAATGAAAGACACTGATATTTTTATCAAAAATTAATTTGAGATATAATACAAAAGTTATTCAAAATTAACATAAAATTATTGAATGAAAGACATTGATATTTTTATCAATCTAGAGATTTCTCATCAGATAATTATTTGGAAGATGTTTTCTAGAACTTGCAGTCTCAGCATTGTAATGATGCATTGCTGTCATATTGCATGCTGTTTTTTTGGACTCAAATTTCTCCTCAGTGTTATCTTCTAATTAATTTAATTTTCTCAGTGTTGATCTTCTATATTGAATCAAATTTCTTTTGCGTTGTCTTGAATCCTAACTTTCGTCTGAAAGATGCTAGGATTATTGCCATTTGTTTAATGCTGCTGTTTGGTGTGTGTTTGATATATGTGTTTAGAATTTGGATATGATCTGCATACTGATCAGTTAATACATTTGTGTTCAAATAAATTTATCTGATATTTGCATGAATTGGCAGATTGCATGTGTCAAATATATATTTTTTTAATCTGTTTTATTTATCTATTAAAATTCATGTCTATTGCAGACCAACAGAGTCAGGTGAACATCATATTTCTAGTAATCTGTTTGATGTAGTCTTCCTCATACAGCTTATAGGTAGAACAAAATTTGTGAGATCTTTTTAGATAAAAATAAAAGGCAGTAACTTTTCTGCTTTCATTAAACTTATAAGGACACTGCTTTTAAAAAAAATGTATTATCTCAATTAAATAATTACAAATTTCTATTCTTATTTTCCTATAAAATTTCATGCTAAAGTCAAAACACGCCCTTTTTTAAATACCTTGAATATAGTTAATTTTTTAACTTAACGATTTATTTATGGCATTGTAAGGTACTTTCTCCCTCGTTTCTGCATGCCTTCATGGTGTAATTGGAAGCATTCTCTATGCTTATTCGAAAGGTTCAGAGTTTGAGTTCTGGCAAGTCCCTTGCACATTTTTCTTTTCATCTGCTTCAAAATAACCTAAGGACTCTACAACATAAACAAAGGTTAGAAATTGCTGCCATTCAATGTGGACAAAAAGTTTTCATGTATTTTTACTGCCTTGTACGAAGTAAAAAGGAAGTATTGTAATCACGAAAAGTTTCACGCAGCACATTTCAATGAAAATATTCATTTTGACCGCTTTCGAATGCAATTTAACGGTGTATTTGCATGATATCTGTACGTAAGAACAGAATAAAAGACTTTTCCTCCAAAAATGTTATAAAGCTGCTTTAAAATGAATTCTGAAGAGAATTTTCCGTGGCATCTGTACGAACTTATGTGCATACGTATCTCGCATAACTCAAAAACGAGTAGCCTCAGAATGTTGAAATTTTGTATATAAGACTACTATAACATGTAGATGTGCACCTCATATTTTGGTTGCAATCGGCCAAGCCAAACGTATATAAATATATTTATATATATATCTACTCTGTTACCCGGCTCAGTGATCTCAGTTTCTTTACTCTTATATGTTTGTAAATTGTACATTTTTTGCTTTAAAAATCATTGAATTATGTTGTTCTTATCTTCCGGTTAAGGTTTCTATGCCTTTAGTAAATCTGTATGCAGTATTTTTAGAATTATCAACAATTTTAAAGTTGTTTAAGTGCCACTAAGCCTAATAATTTTTTTGATAGCGGCCATTGCTTGTTTACATTTGAAACAGCAGAGTAGTGGATTTGTTGCCAATCTAGAGAAACGTAGCTTCGCAACAACAAAGATAACGTCTTCATTTATTATTGCGAAGAAATCATGCTCAATCCTTTCTGGAATTTTTTCGAGGAAATATGTGTTTAAGATTTGCTTCATAATTTTTAATATAGATATTTTGAGTTTTTATGCATTTTTGCCTTGTCGTGGAGTGAGAACTGAATTAGAACTGAATTAATTGAATGAGAAATACTGAATCGTCTGTGAAACACTGTTTCTTTTTTTGTTTTGTTTGCTTAATTTCTTTTATACTTCGTTCTAGCTTTATTACAGTATTTGAATAGAACATGTGGCAACGATTAGATAATTCTTTAAATGATATAAATTTTGTGCATTCTGAGTTATAATATGAACGAAATATATCACTGTTAAGTGAACCTAGCGCCAGAGTGTCGCTATGGTAAACAAATACTTGAGTGAATTTTAAAGAATGCATTTATTCTATTGCGGTTTATGCGCTGTCGGCGAAGTAGGTTTAATTCAATCCAATAAGTTTAAAAGAAATGCAAGAAACAAATGTGTATAATTAAATATTCCGTACAAGGAAGTCATGTGGTGTACACATCAGATTTTTTTTATATAAAAATATGTTATTTAACAGCATAGCAAAGTGAGTTATTTAAAAATAATTTTATTTTTTAAAATTTTGTAATTAACTGTTTGAAAATATTACAGTAAATATGATTTCATACCATATTTATTAAAATAATGGTATATCATACCATTATTTTTATAAATAAAATGTAGTTTTAGATCATATGTCAACTGTAAAGTTTCTAATTATTCTAATGCAGATGTGTTTATTTATCTATTTAACCATTTGATGTGTAAAAATAAAATTCAGAAGTAACTGCTGGATCCCTAAATTTGAGTTTTTCTCACTCCCCCCTATTTTGAGTTTTATCTAGTAATAGTTTTTTTAGTAATTTTTTAGTAATAGTTTAGCTTTATCATGTGGCAGCAATAGGAATTACTTAATTTAGGTAATGGTGAAAATATCATCTGATTTGCTAGATTATAATTGGAAATTGAAAATAATATAAAGGATTGCAGAGGAAAAATGTTTAAATCATATTTATTTTTATTATGTGTGTAGTTACTAAGCTGATGCTTGATTTTTATCATATGAACAGTTTAGAAACAAATAACTCTGTCATTTTCCTTTGTAAAATTTTCTTATGAGGCTAATAAAATTAAATAAAAATTATATGTCCATTCAAAATTGAATAAAATAGGAAAACAATTGATCAAGTGAAAGAAATCTAGTACTGCTTTTCTACATTACATTACTATACTGGCTGAGTTTCCATGGATTTTGAAATTTAATTTAAAGACTGTTAATCCTCTGAATACTATAACTTTTTTTTCTTAAGAATTTTACTTTTACTGTATTTACATTGCTGTACAAGGTACTGATATTTTAATGTACCTAAAGAAGGTTGTCTAAATTTATATGATCTTTTCCAAAATTGTGAGATTTATATAGCTCTTTTTTAGCATAGTGTTTCGAAATCCAGAGTGAATGTACTAATGTTATTTTTTTGCAGAAAATTATAAGAGATTCTATTCAGATTTGGAAAAGAATGATAGATAAGGATGATAAACAGTGTAAAGTCACCCATGATGTTTATCTAAAATTATACCAATTGACTAAACCTAAACTTCTTGGATATCATTGTATCATGGTTGATGAAGCTCAAGACTGCAATTCAGGTAGTTTATTTTTTATTTGATTTTTCTCAAACTGAAATATAAAATAATATATTCAGTTCTTATTTTTTCTGATATTTGAATTGTAACTGAAGTATTTGCTTCTCATCAGTTATAGGGACCTTATGCTGGCAAATGCTTTTCCATTTTGTTGCCACCATGAACATGGTAATATTATGATACCATAAATTCACAGCAAATACTGTAATAAAAATTAAAAGTATAATGAGTTTGGCTAATACATTTCCAATATCGCAACATAGCACCATCTATTTATAATATCAACAACTTGTATAAGTCATGGCAATTGAAAATTGTGCCACCTATTTACAATACTATACAAAATCTGAGATCCAGAATCATCACAGCTTTGTGAATTCCAGATTTTGAATATTCAAGGATTTTAAATAATCAGTTTAAATCTAGTAAGATGATGTGGCAACATAGGGTCTTTATTTATTGTGTGTCAGAAAAATGCTAACCCGACACAATTATTGAAGGGCAGAAAGTTTGATGTTGGCCAATATGAGTACAGTGTCATTTCGTGTATTGTCATTAGCCACAATGCCACTTCCCTAGCCAACAAGTGTTTTAATTTGATTTGAAGGATTGTCTCTGTGTATACAGTGGTGGCCAAAATTGTGGACACTTTTGGAAATTTTTATGTTTTTGAACTTTGTATGCTTATAGGAAATGTTACGTTTCGCAAAATGCAAACTTGTATATATCATTTTAAAGAGAATTTATTACTGAATTCAATACAAAACACAAAATTCAATTATTTACAATACAAAAAACGTTATATGTACTTTAATATAAATAAAAAACACAGTTATGAAGTGGTTTGTAATGTCTAGCTTTCCTGGCCAATCACTGTTCTTGTTCTGAGAACCAATCAAATGTTAGTAACTGCCAGTAGAAGCTGACATCATGTTTACACCTGAAACAATTCATTATTTTGTTTTGTTCTGTAGAAGGAGGGAGGACCTGTTTCTTATCCATTGCAATTACAAGTAGGAATTTTTGTAAAAATTTTTAATATTTAGTCAAGAAGCAATGACATCAAATAAAAGAATAGAGTGGACACCTAGAAAGAGATGTAATATTATTGAGTTACGAGAAAGTGGTATTTCCTATGCTGGAATTGCAAGACAGGTGGGTGGTTCAGTGACTACATCTGGAGTCCGAAAGTTTTGTTTACGATATCAGGAGACAAATTCAATAAAAAACAAAGAATGAAAAGTCCGAAAAAGGTGCACCACATCTATTGATGACAGAAGAATAAAAAGACTATGTCTCCAAGATAGAAAAATGTCATCAGCGGCCATCAGAAGTGACCTGAATGATGCTGGTGTTTCTGTCAGTTCAAGAACAATGAGGAGAAAATTAACAGATGTTGAACTGAGAGGTAGAATTCCACGAAAAAAGCCTTATCTTAATTTTCAGCAATAAAAAAAAAAAAGACTACAGTGGGCAAAGGAACACATTAATTGGACAGATGATCAGTGGTCACAAGTTATATGGGGTGATGAAACTAAGATATCGTTATTCGGTAGTGATGGGCGAAAATATATAAGACGTAGAATAGGAGAAGAGCTACATCCTGACTGCATTCAAGCAATTGTGAAGAACCCAGTTAGTGTTATGATTTGGTCATGCATGTCAGCAGATGGTATTGGTTGCCTTCATGTCATCGATGGGACACTGAATGCCAGAAAATACATTGACACTATTCTAGAACCAAAACTTCTACCTTCCATCAGAGATCTCTTTTCCAACAATGCTTCGTTTATTTTTCAGCAGGATTCTGCTTTTTGCCACATGGCCAAAATATCGACAGAGTCGTTTTCGTACAAAGAGCGTTAAATTGTTGTCATGGCCAGAAAACAGTCCTGACCTCAATCCTATTGAAAATTTGTGGCACCGTTTGAAAACTCTTGTCGGAATGAGGCGCCCATAAAATAAAAGGGAACTAATTGAGGCTGTAATTGTTTCCTGGCATCATGTAATAGCGAAAGAAGAGCTTAAAACTCTTGTCAGCTCAACGAAACGTCGATATGAAGCTGTAATCAAAAATAAAGGGTACCCTAATAAGTACTGATAACTCACTGCAATCATCACTATCTAATGTATATCGATAACTATTTATCGTTTAACTTTTTTGTATTGCAAATAAATGAATTTTGTGTTTTTTACTGAATTCAGTAATAAATTCTCTTTAAAATGATATATACAAGTTTGCATTTTGTGAATTGTAACGTTTTCTATAAGCATACAAAGTTCAAAAACATAAAAATTTCCAAAAGTGTCCACAATTTTGGCCACCACTGTGTATGTAATGAAACTGCGGTTCAGTGACACAACATAAATGATTTGATCATGAATGCAGTACAAACTTGCATTAAAATTTTTGGTGAAATAGTACTTTTCCCATGATTCACTGTGATAGCAAACTTGTGCAGATTTTTTCATAATTTGAACTGCCCGAAGAATGTAATGACAGAACAATTTTGGAGGCACTGAAATAAGAACACTGAGACATAGATGCGTAGAAATACTAATTGCATAGATACTTGATGCTTAGAACATCCATCCATATTGAAGAATAAGCAGTCAAGTCGTTAAATTTCTTTATTTTATTTAAATTCACTTTGTAGCCATAATTACTTGGTACTCTACTCGTGCCTATTAAAGAACATTTACAATTTTTGATATTTTTGCCATAGAAGTGAATATAGCAGCTCATACATGATTTCAGTAAAGCATCTGGCCAAGAGAAAGGCACAAGCAAAAGTGACCTATTAGTTCATAGAAAGAAGGGAGGAAGTCATATGTTCCAGTTTTTAAATTTGGTGAATGGGCAAGAGGCATCTGCATTAAACGTTACGTAAGATCACATGATTAATTTGAATGACGCAATTTAGCCTTATGACACTATTTCTAAGACAGAGAAAGGAACTCCACAAATTAAATAAAACTAAAAGAGGCTATAGACAATTAAATTTAGGAGTTTGCTTTCATTTTTTTTTATCTTACACATTCACCGCCTTTCAAACGAAAAAGCTGGAGCAGTAGAGAAGCCTTTTTGAGAGAAAAAGCATTAGAGCAGCAAAATATGAGAAATATAATTTCAAAAATGCAAAATGTAAAATGAACTTTTGAACAATTAAAAATTATGTCATAAAATTTTTAATTTAATAAGAATTTTTAAAGTCCTATTAAGATTTGAGTCCAATCTATAAAAAAAATCTTGTTTCTGGATCCATCACATCACAATTTATCTTGATATTTCAGGGAAGGTTTTCTAAAAATTTTTGCACGAGATCACAATTTAAAAATTTTTTTATACCCATTAATTATTACAAATAATCATAAATTTTACACCATACTAATTTTCATATTTATAAGTAATATTTCATCATTTGTAATAATCATTATCGAAATTATGGTTTTTACTTTTATTACTACATTTTACAATTTTCGTATTTTACACAAACTAGAAGACCCCACAGCTTTCTCTTAGTACACACATATCCAACTATTTGAGCATATCCTCTTTTTAACAAACTCATGTATTACATTTTCATGAGTGGTTATGTGAATTGCACTACACATTCCATTTATAAAAAAAAGTTGCACTACATTATATGAAAAAATGAAAATTCTATATAATAAATTAAATAAAGTGGGAGCCTTCAAAGTTTATATTATATGAAGAGGGTAAAAGAAACAATCATGCGGAGGTAAAACAGGTCTCTGTTTCTGAACCAGTACTCCCTCATCATACTTCATATTTAACATACAATTATTGATAACTACAACATTCATTTACTGTAATTCCATACAAATTTTAGTACAATTTACTCTTAATTAAATTCTCATATAAATGCTATTATGATTACTCAGTTTCTTAAACAAAATAATGCCAAAATTCTTAACTTGTCAGCAAAATAATTCCAAAATTCTTAACATTAATTTAAAATTTTTGACAAAACTTATTTTCACTAATAATAATCTTCCCTGAATAAAATCTTAGACTAGTTACGACATTTTAATTTGATATTTTTGTAGCACAGTGCCACATTACATTTTCAGATTTTAAAATATAACCAATTATTGAGCAAGCTATTTATAATGAGGCAGTTGGAGAAAAACTGAAAAAACTTTTTTATCACGTAACATCAAAACACATTTTTGGAATATCGGCACTTAATTTTCTGGATGGAAACAACTTTGAAGAGTAAATTTGGAATCGAAGAAATTAATCACACTTCAGTATCACTTTTGATAACGCCTTTAAATCACTTTCATACTTGACACACCATATTTCGATATTACAGTGACCTTGGCCTAATTGGAAATTCAGATGAATAGTTTCCTTTTTTATTTTATCCATTTGTTGAAATAAACTGCACAGGGAGTTCCATGCTTGTAGGGTCGAAAATCAGCCATACCATTTTTATGTAATGAAACTAAGGTTCAATGACACGACATAAATGATTTGATCATGAATGCGGTACAAACTTGAATTAAAATTTTCGGTGAAATAAGACTTTTCCCATGATTCACTGTGAAACAAACTCATGTATATTTTTTCATAATTAGAACTGGCTGAAGAATGTAATGACAAAACAATTTTGGAGGCACTGTAATAATAGTACTGAGATGTAGATGTGTAGAAATACTTAATTGCGTAGATACTTGATGCTTAGAGTCCATTTTGAAGAATAAGCAGTCGAGCCGAATTAAATTCCTTTTTTTTATTTAAATTCACACTTTGTGGCCATAATTATTTGACACTCTACTCGTGCCTATTAAAGAACATTTACAATTTTTTATATTTTTGCCATAGAAGCGAATATAGCAGCTCATACGTGATTGCAGTAAAGCATCTGGCCAAGAGGAAAGTGCAAGCAAAAGTGACCCATCAGTTCATAAGTTTAAGTTTTTAGTTTTGGTTTGCAATTTGGTGATTGGTGTAGAGGCATCTGCATTAAGTATTACGTATAATCGCATGATTAATTTAAATGACACAATTTAGACTAACAATGCTATTTCTAAGACAGAGAAAGTAAGTCTACAAATTAAATAAAACTAAAAGAGGTTATAGACAAATTTAGAAGTTTACTTTCATTTTTTTTAATAATCGTACTTTTTGGCGGAAGATGAAAACAATTCACTTTTAGTCGTGGCAGGAAAACTGCTGCGTAGATGTCTGGACATTACGATGTAGTAGATGATCGCATGGAATTTGTAGAAGCACAACCAGCTTGATAATTAAACATCATTTATTCTTGAATGGCAAATTTCTTAATATATAACTGTAGAAGACTAGGGATGCTACACACGCCCCATAATTTTAGATATGCAATTACATTTTTTGTAATGACAGCTTGCAGGGGCTGAGCGACAAGCTGACAGCACCCAGGCGAAGAGGCGAAAGAGAGAGAAACTACACAGTTATAAACTATTTATACAAGATAGGTGCACAAAGTACAGCTATCATTGATTAAATTTTTGGTTTTAGTTCCATTTACATCATGAAAATTAGATTTTTCTGGAAATGACGCAGTGCAAAGAGAGAATTGAAAGGAAATTTACATTGTTAATTTAATCTTTTAAATATTCTTTACTTTTTTTACACGCACACACACACACACACATATATATATTGTACCAATACACTAGATGTTCAAAACAAGGTAATTATACTTATTCAAGTTATAAATTGGTACTGATAAATTTATTAATTTCTGTCATAAAAAAGCAGGCATTAAATACTCAATTTAAATCTGTTGACTAATAGAGTAATGATAATTTATTCCTAAAACCTGCAAAAGGCAGAACAAGTTCAATGTCTGTTAATTAAAGATTTGTAAATTTTGTAATTAACTTTTATACTTAATTTAAATTAAAAGTTTTTTGTGGGATTCTGTTCTTTTAATAACTAATGTGCCTATTTTATATTTCTCAGTCTTGTAAATAGCTTTTTACCAGTGATGATACCTTCTTCTTTATGCTTTTTAGATCTTTAATGAGAAATAAATTAGTTTCTTCTATTTGATAAAAGTTTTACTAAGAAACTAGTTTCTAATGACAACTTTAACGGAACAATAAGTTCTCTTGCGAACTTTACGACTCCACTATCTCAAATAGATACTTCACTAACCATTACCTTTGGATATGAACTTTACATTTTAGAATTTTAGAAGTGTTTTTTTCCCCCAGAACATTTAGTAAATGAGAGATTTGCAATGCCTTCTGGATGAAAAAATACTTCTAAAATTCTAAAATGATATTGATACATATTCATTGTCGGCAAACAGTGTGATTTAGCACCAGTAATGGGTAAGAATGATGTCACACGCACACAATTGTAAGACATTTGTTTTGGTTTAATGTAAACTTTATTTATTCTGAATAAGCTGGTTTCATTTTTTTAAAGAAGGAAGTTCTATTTTTTCTTCACAATTTGAAAAAAATGTTTAATGTTTGGGACAGCATGAAGTGGAGTATTTTTTAAGTCAAAAAAGTCATGATATGTGACACCAACTGTTAAACAGTATCAATGTAATGGAAAAAAAAATATAAGATATTTTAGTTTTTTATATGCTATATCCATCATTTATGTTTTTTATTATCTAACTAAATAAAGAATGATCTCTTTGTTTCTAGTAGAATGATTGGCAACATTTCCGCCAACTTTCATGTTTAGTGGGATTTCATAATGAAATCAGAAGTCTTACTTTCATGTTTAAATCCTATGAATAGTGATGAATTTTGTTACCTCATTTAAAAAAAAATAATATTCAAATCAATGTTCATGACTATAGAACTGAATTTCTAAAATTATGTAGATTTATTCTTTAGGTTATAAAGTTGATTAAGTTAGTAATATTATTGTTTACAAGTTTTTATGACATTGTATGGCTTATGTGTTATATGTATAATATATATGATTTTATGTAGATTTGCATAATCATATGTATTTTTAGTCCAAAGGGGCTTTATCCCTGAACGAATGTTGTTTTCGTTTTGTGATTTTGTGTTGAATCACTATAAACGGCAAATCACTTTTTCAAGCTGTTGCCACCAAATGTTAGAGTCCTGCATTATATTTGAAGAAATTAAATAATGAAAAATATGCATAAATGTATGTATATTTCTCGCATTCTGATAAAACAACGGTACATAGAGCCTTCGAATTTTGAATGATGTAATCCTCCTACGAATATGGGTATGTGGAAGACCAAATTTGAAATTTGGAATTTGTTTTACTATCAATTTCATATTTTGTAAAACTTTAACGAATTTTTGAGTAACAAACTCAACATTTTAAAAGCAAGCAATGGCTATACTCTACGAGTGGAAAAAAAAGCTTTTTTATCTCCAGCATGCAGAACTGTGTATCAGAAATTCTAAAGATATGCTCATTTTAAAATTATTTTGCAACATTGCTATTGAACTGAATTTTATGGTTTAAGTGCAAAGAACATGATATTTAATAAAGAAAGGTAACACACAAAATGTTAAAAAAATGTCCCTTTGGACATAATTTAAAATCTGAATCCTTTCAGATTTATTATTTTTTTCCAAATTACTGTTGTTTGTATATTTAAGTAACTTTTTTTCTTTCAATATATACAGCAATGCTTGATATTGTACTTACTCAGTCAGCACCTATCATACTTGTTGGTGATCCAAATCAGCAGATTTATGGGTTCCGTGGTGCTACTAATGCTCTGCAGAATGCTCCATTCAGTCATATCTATTATTTAACTAAGGTAAGGCTTGAAATGATTTTCATGCTTTTAAGTATTTATTGGCATTTGTTTCTGTGGAATGAAACATTTTAGATGATGATAATGATTTAATTAAAGTTAGCTTTTGGAACTTTTTCTTTATTTTATATTGATTGATTTCATTTATTTTATGGGGGTTGAAAGTGTAATAGTGATTCAAATAGCATGAATCCTCATAGGAAAGGTATAGCTAAGATTAACTCTCAGAATCTTTAAATATAGTCTTGTGCATGATAGTTTTTTGCCATTTATAATGAAATTAGCAGCTTCATGATTGCTGATTTCAAAGGAAAGATTGACTACACATATGACTTAAGGAACCACATTAAAATGAATTATAAATTTTCCTATAAATTTAGGAAATGAATTGAAGTTACATGGGCTAAAGTATAAAAGATGATTTACAGTATTCAGTCTCAATTTGAAGCATGTATGTGTTCACCGTTAGCCATGTAAAAATGAGCATTGCAAGAAATGTGCTTGAGTCACATTTAGAGTTTTTCCAGTGTATACTCATGAGTAAGGATGATGTTTTAGCCATCATCATAGTAGGTGTGATTTTAATGTTTCTGTGATACACGCATTCTTTCCATGGCTACAGAGAATCTCAAACGTACTGTTCATTTGTTGATGCTTAAGTTTAACTTAGTACAAACATGCCTACTTGATTTTTTTTTAAATAGGAATTCATCCTCTTATCAATCATACTGTTCTAGATGAAATGCAGCAGACTTGTATCACTGCGAGGTTTAGTTTTTATTAGTGCATGTAAAATCATATCATGTGTTTTATGCTTAAGTAGCCCTTTTCGCATGTTGGCAAAGCTTCAAGACCGAGATCCTTCCTTTGTCTATTGCTGATTATCGGCCAGCATATCAGGCACTGAATACCATTTATGCTATTGAAATAGAGGATTTCTTAAACCTGGATTCATTTCTCATGTTCTTATGCCTGCACTTGAATGCATTTGTAGAAAATTTTATGTAGATGGTGCTGTGGGCAAAGAAATGTTTTATTATGTTTTGATTAGTAGAAAGAATATGCTGGCCTGTAAAGACAGGAACATGAATTATTCATCTGAAATAAGTGTTTTATTGTTGTGTGTGCGAATCCAGCTTCATAATTGTAGTCATGGAACTTCACAAATACTGCAGCTTATTATTAGACTAGAACCCACTCTGAGAAGATTTGAAAAGAATCTAACAGTGCTCAACTTCTTTCTTAACATACTGCAAGTTTATTTCCTTAAGTTTCTGTTTCAACAAATTACTGATAGCAGTCTTTTGAGGTACAGCTCCCTGCACTTCCAAATTTTGACCAGGAATGTTTCTGTAATATGGGAAATGTATTTCTCTTTGTATTCTGGATTGGTTATATGATGCTGATGTGCATTTGGAAGGACATTCATCATTACACTGTGCAGAAGGGAAAGTTCAACTCTGTATATGACAGTACTATGCATGTCATGATTTGTTATGGCTGTGATCACTACTAGAATTTTAATTCTTGTATTAAGACTAGAGTTGTAATACCAATAAACTGGTTAACCCTCTGGCTTGCAAGGATGTGTATATACAGCCTAGAATATTCTTTGTGATGTCTCTTAAGAAAGTATATATAACCATGCATCTAGAAGTGTGTTCAAGAAATTAAGTCAATGCATTGAACTTACATAAATCCAGGTACAAAGTAGGAGAGTTATTTTGGCCTTAAAATTAAGAAAATATCTCTTTCTGGTGTCAGTTTAAAAAAAAAATTGACTTTTTTCTTTGAAACACCATGCTAGTCAGAGAGTAATTTATTTATCAAGAGACATGGAAAACAAGTCTGCAGTTTTTGCCAGTAAATTAACATTTTATTAGTAATTCAATAAATAATGTATTTCAGTATGATCATTAGATATAAATATATAAATTTAATTCTCTCACTGGGTGTTAGAAAAACTGTTTTAAATTTAAAACCTGATGCAAATTTTACAGGCAATGATCTTACATGATTTTATGTCACTAGCATTACAACTAGTAAAACCTGATATTTCAATTGTTGTGAAAATATCAATTTATATATTCATGGCATTAGTTTGAAATTCATGCTTGATGATCTAACAAATCAAAACAGTATTTTAAGTAACGTTAAGAAGGCTTTAAAGCATCCAGCAAAATAAGGAAACTGCTAATGCTGATGTTCTGTAATATTTTTATGACACTGACCTCAAAAACTGAAATGACAAAGATTGCAAAATTTATTATAAATCCATTAAAACTACAAATACAAAGAGAATTGTTAAATTAAATGAATGCATGTATAAGAACAAGCAGATGCTACTGAAATATGAGAAATAATATGTGATACTGATTCTGAAAATTTTATAAACTCATTTCTGTCAACATCTACTGCTATGTTGTCTATGAAGGAAAAACTTTAATTCCTAATAAAGACCAAACCATTGTACTCTATAAGGAAGAAACTGTGATAAATAAATAAAGGTGTGTATAAATAAATAGTTAATTAAATCTTAAAGTCTTAAAAAAAGGAGTATTTTCAGCAGGAAAAAATAAGGAAGGTAAATAATGTGTAACAGTAAAATGTGTGGTTTCGTAATGATGGCCAAACAGGTGTAATATCAAGAAAATTTTCTTGGAGGCTGGCTTAGTTTGCACAAGATTTAGATTTTCATTTAGGACAAGTTATGTTTTCCGTGTGCTTATTTTTTAAAACGAATTTAGTGTTTAATTTTGCATATAAATGAAGAAATTTTCTCAGTGTTTTTGTAGTAAAGATCTATTTCTCTCTCTATATATATGATTTATTAGCATATTATTTTCTGTATACTGTGTATTCCAAGGAAATCCTCCTTAGAAAAAGGGTGTTAAAATTTCAGTAATTCAGAAAAAGTATAGAGAGCACCGCAATGCAGTTTCAGAAAAATGTGCAGAAACTGAAGTGATGGCTGTCATTCATGTAAACGCCTGGCAAATGCGGCATGACACTTGCTGAGCATTGAAAAGAATTCATCTATAATTCTTGTCATATGATGGCATTATGGTTCTTTCACTATGGGTGTCGAAGTTGACCAACCTCTATGCACATGTTACTTTTGGAGGCAACGATAAAAATCACAAGGTTTAAGGTATGAAAATCTTGGTGGCCATTAGTGTGGAAAAGACTGATCAAGGACAGTTATCATCAAATCTCTATCACAGCAGGTACTAGACAGGACCTGTACAAAGGCAATCCATTCTGCATAAAATATGGAGTGTGTGTCTGCTGTGAGAAGGAAACGAAGCTTTCTTTTAAAAGCACTGTATAAAATTTGACTGATAGAAGTACTTTGAAATGTACTATTGTGGACCTTTTTAACCCTTTGCGGCTCAGTGTTCCACTACATGGAACACCCAAATTGAATCGCTTCTGAAACCTTTAAATTCAACCGTAAATAGATAAAAATGCCTTTATAATATACTTTGAACTTTTCTTTTTAAACAGTAGATAGCAGCATATCACAAGGAGGCACAGAATTTTCATTTATTATGTGTTATTAAAATCCACTTATTTTCAAGATAATTTTCTACTATTTTTTAATGGCGATACAAAAAAAATTTATTTGGGGAAAAAATTTAGGTATAATTTTGCTGGCTGTACTTCCAATGTTATTTGTTCTATATTTTTTTTAATCTTTCATGCAAAAACCATAGGCAGAATCATTGAATGAAACCAGGTGTTCCATTAGCGGGAACACTGCGCCTTTATGCTGAATCAGAACATCTGTGCTTAGGAGAGAACATCCGTTGTTTACGTTTTCTGTTTCTGTTGTTTTTTTTTGGGGGGGGAATGGATTCAAAAAAAGCAGTATTGAGGAGTGAGGTGTGTTTTCTGTTATGAAAGCCCTAATATTGGCATCTCCAATTTTTTGGGAGTAGTTTTTTAGGCGAGAATTTTATTAGTAGCTTGACTCATCTTTACTTATGTGCGAATTTTTTTGCTGTCGCATTTTAGTCTCATTCGCATTTATTTTCAATAATTGTGTAGATATTTTTCTTGTATGTATATATTATAGGCTTGTTTTTCTTTATTGTTAATATTAATCGTAGTTAATTTTTTTATTATTAATTTTTCCATAAATGGCGCGGAGAGGTCTAACTCTTTCCGAAAATTTGTAAATATTTTTGTTATATAGATATTTATCTCATTTATCTGTATATATACAAGAATATTGTGAATATCCAGGAAACCATGTATACAGCCATAATACAGAGTTTTTTCATTCTTATACAAACACTTCTACTCATTTTCGTGCTTCACTGCAATGCTCGCTTAGTCGCACTTTTAAAAGCTCTGGCTCCGCAGTGTTCCACCTCATGGAACACCCACAGAATTAAAACAGTTGTGCAATTTTTACAGAATTTTACCTGTATACTCCTTTAGGACTAAATAGACTGCATACAAATTTTTTGTTGAAATTCCGACGTTAACGTATAGTGCACCGCAAAGGGTTAAAGGAAAAGGCCCTGTAATTAATGGCACTGTGAACATGCAATATGCTGTCATCTTTGGTTAAAGCAAATGGGCTTTTAGAATTGCATGTGGGTTTTCTCTTACATAGATGTGGCACCATTAAACTAAGATGTACCATTCCATTAAGATGTACTTCAACAGTTCACTGAACCTTTGACAACCAATCCATATTGTAAGCCATCTGTTGAAAGATACAGTTTGAAAACGTCTCTCAAAATCAATTGGTTTTAGTTTCTGTACATGCTGTTTTTTGAAGGATATATTTTGAGAATGATCCTTAACAGTTATCATACAGTCCTATATGAAAGGTCAGTTCTCCAGGATCGCTACAGCACTACCTGTTGGTGAAAATGCAAGTACTGGTGAACTGGTTTTAATTAACAGTTTTACTGAATGATCAGTAATTGAAAAGATAGTAAATTTACTATCCCTGATTAAAGCCTATTAATTTAAAAATGAGTTATTCT